ATTGAGGAATAAGGTGTCGAAAGCACAACTCCGGATGCACGTTTTCGGAATAACAAACCATTTTTGAGAAAGTTCTGTCCAGGCAGCATGCTAAGAGGAAGTTGTAGCGCGCTACAAGTATTTTGACAGATTAGGCAGAAGCTTATTTTTGAGCCCGCTAAGCGCGCAAGTCCCGTTAAGCGCAATTCAATTTGTTAAATAAGCACAACCCGCTTAGCACGATGAGACCGCTAAGCGCGGTCTGCTGAGATCAATTTTGCATAAATAGTTTTGAAACAAATTTTCTAGGTTTTTATCATCTCTTCTCTTGACAAGGGTTAAGCTCTGATTCGATTTATTGTAGTTTTGAGGTTTACTCAACATCACTGGGCAGTTCATCGTGTCGTAAGGCTCACATGTTGTCTCCGATTGCGGCAACACCACGAGAAGTCTTTGCCTGTTATCCTTTATCCCTCTGTCCCGTTCCAATGGTGGGTTTTGTATGTATATTTTGCTCTTATTGTATGTACATTTATTGATCTTGGGATCATATTTATATATGCTTTACAAATCATTATCAATGTTATCTCTGATCTTTTTGCTTAATGTTTGGATTCAGGTTGTCATACACATATGCCTCACGGATCTTGATTAGGGATGTATGTCTATTAGTTTCTAGATTCTAGACATAGATTTAGAGCTGATAGTATTTATGTATATCAGAGCTTAGTGCCTCCGTGTTGTTTGTGACACATGAAATCGTCGATGCGAGTGATATGGTTGTCCGCGACTTTGCGTTAGACATAAACTCTATTGTGGTGCATCTCGAACTATGCTAGGCGATTTTGATGTGTATCGTATGTGTAGTGCAATTGATGTTCAAATTTAAGTATTTTACGAGTAGAATGAAATGTGATTCCAAAATGAATTCTCTTAAGCTACAATGATTGTTTACCTGCTTTATTTATTGTTTATTTATTTTTCCTGTATTTTTCCTGCTAACCCAATCTAAACTTAGAAGGATTGAAACTATTGAACGATAGATTTTCCCTCTCACTAATCCATATGGAGACGATATCAATATAACTAAATAAATACTTACTTTTTGCTTGCCTCTATACTGCTTTAACACTCATGTATCTTCAGCCTCTTTCATCATATAAGTTCCATTTTTCATCCTTCTCAAGGAGTTTTTCTTCACACCTATCACAGGTCTCCTTGTAGGCCACATAAAGATCTTCATAGAGGAAATTTACATCACAAGATTATGCATCATTTGTCCATCTTCTAGTGAGAGCAGTCACAAGTTTGACAATCTCAATGTTGGGTTTATCTTCTAACTCATCATTATCAGACCAAGATATAGAAAGACCTTTTTCTGTTTCTTAAGGAAGGTAGGACATTTTGTTCTACTATGAACAAATCATTCACACTCAAAACATTAAATTCATTTTCTTTGATTGTGTTTCTCTTCAATTTTGGTATTTTTCTAAAAAATCATAGTTATTACTGATGTCAGATGAGATGTTATTGACATTTGGTTTTCCCTTCCTATCCATTATCTTCAGAATTCTATTGAATTGCTTCCAAGTAATACAATGGTATTGGACAATCCTTCCTCGGTATCCAGATCAACTTGACCCCCTTCATCTTCAGTATTGGATACAAAAGTTATGCTCTTATTCTTCTTATCATACTTGTCACTTATAGCCAGTTCAAATGTTTGAAGTGATCCAACAAGTTCATCAACTATCATGTTGTTGATGTCTTGGACTTCTTCAATGGAAGTTACCTTCATGTCAAATTTCTTAGGTAGAGACCTGAGAATCTTTCTAACCAATTTTTCTTGTGAAATCTTCTACCCCAAGGCACTAGATGCATTTTTTATTTCAATAACATTCATATGAAAGTATTGAATGCTTTCATCATCATTCATCTTTAGGTTCTCAAGTCTGGTAGTGAGAAGCTAAAGTCTGGACATCTTTACTTTAGATGTGCCCTCACGAGTTTTTTTTGAGGATTTCCAAAGCATATTAAGCTATAATACACGTATTTGTCAACCTAAAAAAATTCTTGTCAACTCCATTAAATAGAGCATTCAAAGCTTTGGAATTTCCAAGAGCTAATTTATATTTATCTTTAGACCAGTCTTCTTCTGGCTTGAAAGACTCATTCCCATCTTTGTCCTTCATAACAGGATGATTCTAACCGTTCAAAATAACCTTCCAAGATTTATTATCCATGGATTTTAGAAAAGCTACCATACGAGTCTTCTAATAGTCATAGTTTGCACCATGTAACAGGGGTGGTCTATTATTATATCCCCCTTCTTTGTTTATAGTATCAGAAAGTATCTTCCCTGAAGCTCACCCAAAAACAGAACAATGTGGCTGCTCTGATGCCAATTGAAATTCTGGCACACTAGATAGATGTTAAGACTGATGTACAACATCTAAACACGATGTCAAGATAGACGTTAAGACATCATCTTACTAACAGAGCAATTGACAAACAATAAATCATGCTGAAGGTAAATTGCAGAAGATAAGTGGCATAGTCAAATGTTAACCCAGTTCAGTGCAACAACACCTACTCCGGGGGAATCCAAGCCAAAAAGGAAATTCATTATAATAGTATTAATTTAAAGCTTATACAACCATAGTTTACAACTTATCACCTAATCACTACCCACACAATTTCTACCTAGGAACCTCCTAGATATGAGAACCCTCTCTCACTTCCCACAATCACCTCAATGACAATAATAATGACCAAAACAGAAGAACATACTTCCAGTTACATAGATTACACTCTTTTCTTAAAATATCATTAGTGAATAAAAATGAACAATGATCAACCAATCTACCTCAATGCATCAAACAAGATACATGAGTGACATACAAACACAAAGAACAATAGAAAAACTCTCAAAACCCTAAAGACTTTTAAACAAAGTTTCCCCTTATTTTTCACTAGTTGCTTTTTAGGTTTAGGTTATTTTTCCTTTTAAACTCCTCAAGTGTCCATGGGCTTCGGATTCTCCACACAATTTGTTGTAGATCCACAAACTGGTGGTGGTACAAATTATGCAGAATAATCTCCTTGAATTATGGAACAAAAATATCACAAGTTTCCTAATTTGTCTTAACATCCAGTTTTAGAAACTAATGCATAATTGGAGTTAAAATCACTCGTTCCAAAAATGTCCTTCTTGGCCTGCACAAATATGTGACATATATCCATAGAGAATCTCAAAAAATCAAATCAGATCCTTCAAAGAAGAACAGTAGCGACTGCTATATCAGTTGGTCAAAATGTCATGACATCTTGCTCAACATCTGGTTGTGATACATTGTTTTACTAAAATTGTGACCAATAATAAAATCACAGACCTAACAATTGATAATGGTTTTTGGTGCGATACGGGATGGACTTTGAGAGTTTGTTTTGTTGCCCAGATTTCGCACCAGTTCACGGCTGATTCCTTGGTAGATTTATGTTAATTATGCTTTCAGTCCAACCAGTCTTGGGGCAGCGGGATCGTTATGTTTAGTGGCAGCAGTCCGTTGGTTTTTCGGTGAAGGTTTGTTACAATTTGATTCCTTTTCCATGTGTGAAAAATATTCTCATTGTGGATGACGTTTTGGTAGCTTTAAGATCGATGTGGAAAACGAAAATTCCAAGTAAGTCTTTTTTCTTTGGCTGGAGATTGTTGTTGAATCGTCTTTTGTCTAGAGCCAACTTGTTTAAGCGCCATATTAGGCTTGATTCTCACAATTTTTGTTGTCCTCTTTGTTTGCGGGAAGAAGAAGATGTCAAACATCTTTTTGGTGGTTGCCGAGTATCATTAGTGTGGTGGATTAAAATGTGTGATTGGCTCAATGTTGATTTTCCTTTTGGTACTTTGATTCTTCTTGAGTATCTTTCTTCTTTGGAGGCTTGTACGTGGTCTAAATTTCATTTGGATTTGTGTTGGATTTTTGGGTTTATACCTTTGTTGGTCGATTTGGTTGTGTAGGAACACCATTCTTTTTGTTGGAGGAGTTCTTTATTATTTAGATAGTTTGGGTATGTTGAAGCTTTTATCGTGGAAGTGGTTACTATCTACTTGTAAACCAGATAAAAATTTTCTTTGGTCAGATTGGTGTATCTCACTGACTAGATGCTTACGAGCTTTTTAACTTTGCTTGATTGATTTTAACCTCCTTGTGTAACATACTTTTGGTGGGTTCTGCATCCCTTATACCTTTTATTTATTAACTTCTTGCCTATCAAAAAACTAATTAATCTCTAACTTCATTCCTTTGCAACCATTGGTGATGGCTAATATAATAATAATAATAAATTATTATTATTAATAAATTAATTTACACATACAAGAACTTAAATAGTTATATTAGATCAATCTACCATATAAGACACCCTTAGCCTTTGGTAAATTGATATCCATGATAGCTCTTTATCATGAAACAATGTCTTTTTGTACCCCTCTTTCAACTAAGCATCAAATAATTACCTTGTCTTTTTGTACCCCTCTTTCAACTAAGCATCAAATAATTACCTTCTAATTTTACTGTTTTACCAATTCCCATCTTGATGTGCCTTTATTGCAAACTGGATAGAGTTGAAGTGTTGGAGCTGTAACTGGTTCTGTTTTTCTAACCCACAATACCTACTTTAATTAAAATTTCAAAATGATGTCTGACTCACACACACACTCTCTCTCTCTCTCACGTCCTTTATCTCTTTCCTCTCACATCCTTTCTATCTCTCTCATGTTCTTTCTATTTCTCTCTCTCTCACGCTTCTTTCTATCTTTTTATCTTTCTATCTCTATGTACCTACTTCCTTCTTCACCTTCTTCTTTCTTCTCTTTCTTTATCTTCCTTCTTCCTTTTCTTTAATCTATCTGACTGGTAGTTGTTGTTCTTTCAGGAACTATGGATCTTGGTTAATTTTCTATGTACCTAGTTCCTCGATTTTGCTCCAATTTGATCCATTCTGAGATTTTTAACCTTATCATGCAAGTATATTTACTGTTTATTTAGATTTAATCTGCTAAATATTTTTTTAGTTATGAAGTTACATGATTTGTGTTTAACCACTTCAGTTCTAAATTAGTTAGCAGTGTACTCATAGAAGTTTGTATTACATTACATTCTTTTTACACATTGGCAGGTGTGTGTAAAGGTTTCCTTCCATACCTTGGAATTGGGATGATATAGCTTGAAAGTTAAACTTAAATTTGAAAGTATAACCAACCTTTATTGATTATGATATTTGGTTAATTGCAGGGTAAACTATACCTGCTGCTTCTTGGAACCATAACTCTTAGTCTGGTGAGAAATTGTTCATATTTGAATTATCAGTTTCTAGGTTCCATAGCTGACCTAGGGTCTTTCTTCTTGGTCTTTGATTCACTATGAACTTGTATTTGTGTTTTTGATAGAGCAGTTGATCGTCGCATTGTATTTTTTATCATTGAAAGGTGTCATTTTTCCGCATTATTATTGAGTGTAAGTTACATGTTGTTAATAGTCACTTAGTAGTTATTATTGAAAGGTGTCATTTTTTAACTCTATTTTTTTATGTAGCAGTTACCTCAAATTTACCTATTTTTGTTATTAGTTGGCAAGAAGGAATTATTGCAGAAAGGAATGACAAAGATAACACATATACTGTTCAATTATTGTAGAACGAGGGATCTTCGATGATTCTCGTCATCGCGGAACAAGGGAGCTTGGTAAGTAAGTATTTGAAAAGGGAGTTCATTGGATTTATGATAGAAACGTATATTGGAAACATGATGTGAAACGGTCTGAGTTCTTCATGGAAATGCTGAATTTGAAGCTACTGATGTTGTCTTACAAGTTAAATTGTATGATTTAGTTAATTCTTGTGGATACTTTGTGTAAACTAAAAAAACTAAAAAAACCTATTTTTTGTTGTCATTTTATCAATACAGGAAAATTATGTGTCAGATCAAATACCAGAAAACTATTCTTCTATCACACTTTCTGGTTTTTGATTCTCAAGCAAAACACATACCCGAAAATTGACACATAGAAGTGTCGACAAACATGTGATGTCCATCGTTCTTACCCCTTTAATCGTCTTCTATGTTGTTATGTGTTAGATGCGTTTTACACAAATAATATTTATGTTTAATGATTTGTATGATACTGTTTAGGGAGAGATGTTTCATGTTAAGCACCTTTGAAAAATGTTTTTTCTTTAGAAATAAGTTTTAATGTGTATGATGCGTTTCTGAAATATGTTGTCTTCGTTTTTTGGATTCATAGGTGTGATGTTTTGATGTCTGACAATAGTTTTTGACAGGAAACCATCATTTTTGTGGGTTGTTATTTGGTTTGTTTGGGGCTGTGTTACATATCAGTATGATTAGTGGTACAACCATAGGAGATATCAGAAAGCACGAGGAATAATGTGACATGGAACACCATGATCTTTTATGATTTCGGGTTATACTAATGTTGGAAGTTATATGCAAAGTTTGTATCTTTTTAATCCAATTGTTGTTTGTTGAAGGAACAAAGCCGAATTCGGAATAGACCAGGTAAACGTAACGTCTGAGTAATTTCATTCGCAACCTGTGCCCAATGAATTCAATTTGGTCCATCACTTATGTACTAATGTTCTTGTAGCCCACTACTGTCACAACACACTCTGTTCAGGTCTATTACAATCCTATTACTTCCATATACTGCTTCCATACGTTTCTATATCAAAGCACTGAGTCACCATTATTTTATTTCATATTAGCCCATGGAGAGTGTTGCCGAGGATGTCCTGTATCAGACAAGGTATTTTATTTTATATCTTTGCACTAATACTTGATAAAACTAATTCTAACTATTTTTAATAACCATGTTGCAGGAGTTTGAATTAAGCTCAACAAACATAAAGATAAAAAAATGTCACAAGAAGAGGAAGATTTACATGAGTTGGTTAAGGAAACAGAGGAGCTTTTTCAACATTGGTTCACGGTAGTAAAGGAGTGGATCCAGATGCAATCATGAATGATAGAGTTACTTGGATTAAAATGTATGGTGTTCCGATACATGCGTGGAATCAGAAGTTCTTTGAGAAACTAATCATTAGCAGACGAATTTAGTTGCTCGGTAGAGATACAAACTGTGAGTCAAGCTTTTGGAGAATAATTATGACAGAGCATATGGAAGGCTGTGATTTGCATATTCCCAGTTTTTTGAGTGATGAGTTGAACACGACTCAAGGTGGAAGATATGCGGGAATCGAACCCTGTACCCTGGGGTTCAAGTACATGCTCAATGCATTCCCACTACCAATTGAGCTATAGCTCAATTGGTAGTGGGAATGCATTGAGCATGTACTTGAACCCTAGGGCACAAGGTTCGATTTCCACAAAAGGCAAAAACTCTACTAGTGAGGGGGGATAGAGAAGATCGTGAGGTAATAGTGTTGGGAACGCTGAAGGCTCGGGCTGTTACATAAAAATTCTGATAACACTAACTCTCTTTCTTTTTCTTATTTTCTAATAAAATATATTATTTATTGTATATCCGATTATATTGTTCGATATCTCACCCCTTCTGTTTGAATGTTGTCCTCTGTTGGTAACGTGCAGATAATCAAGAAGATTAGCTGTTACCCTCATTAGTTCGAGTCGGTGTTGTCACTCTGATACGTAGCACTCGGGGGGATGAACACATGTTTTCTTTATTGTTGATTTTCATTATGTTGCTGAAATTTTAAGTTGTTTCCATTAAAGACTTGTTGTCTTAAAGTTGTTTTAAGTTGGATAAGATGTTATGGTGTTTTCAGTTGAATTATGTGAATCCGCCGCGTAGTAATGAAAGTTGTTTTTATTCTTAAAGACTAAGCAGGTTGTTATCGGTTCATCCGAAGTTCATGTGTTATGCATCAGAACTATAGCTGATTGAATGTCGTAGTTTTAAGTTAAAAGTGTAACATTCTATTTGTTGGAAATTTTTATAACTCTGATTTTATTTAACTCGTTGGGTAGAATTGGGGTGTTACATTAGTGGTATCAGGGCAAGTTGATCCGTCCGGTCAAGTTGTCGAGTCGTAGTTTTGTTTAACATTTGAGTATTGTTAATCTGAATTCTAACTGTTGTTTATGTTGTAGAGATAAGTTGAGATTACTGGAAGGAATGATGCTGCACTTGCTGCTGCTCTGCAAGCGATGACTCAGGCTATGTAGAATCAACTGAATGCTGGATCTCGCAGTTTGGCGACTTTCTAAAGGAAGAATCCGCCTACTTTCAAGGGTAAGTATGATCCTGATGGAGTGTTGGATTGACTGAAGCAGATTGAGAGAATCTTCCATGCGATGGACTGCACTCTAGCGCAAAAGGTTCGTTATGGTACTCATATGTTAGCGGTCGAGGCTGATGACTGGTGGTTAGAGACTTGTCAAAGATTGTAAGCTTCAGGAGAGAATGTCACTTGGGCTGTGTTCCGTAGGGAATTTCTGAGGAAGTATTTCCCTAAAGACGTTCGTGGTAAGAAAGAAATTGAGTTTCTTGAGCTGAAGCAAGAGAGTATGTCGGTTGTTGAGTATGCTGCAAAATTTTCTGAGTTGACTATGTTTTATCCACACTATAGTGAGGAAGATGCTGAGTTTTCGAAGTGCATCAAGTTTGAGAACGAGTTGCGCCCAGAGATCAAAAAGGCAATTGGATACCAGAAGATTCGTGTCTTTGCTGATTTGATTGATAGTTGCAGGATTTATGAATATGATAATAATGCTCACTATAAGATTATCAATGAGAAGAGGGGTAAGCACCAACATAATCGTGGTAAGCCTTATGATGCCCCAATTGGTAAAGGTAAACAGAAAGTTTCTCAGAGTCAAAGGACTAGTGAGGGAGATGCTCCTGCTAGTGTGGTGTGCTTCAAATATGGAAAACCTGTTCATAAGAGTAATGTATGTACTGCTGAGGTGAAGAGGTGTTTCCGTTGTGGTAAGACTGGACATGTTGTATCTGAATGCAAGCATAAAGAGATGATTTGTTTCAACTGTGGTGAAGGACACATTGGTAGTCAGTGTCAGAAACCAAAGAAGGCGCAAACCAGTGGAAAGGTGTTTGCTTTGGCTGGGACTCCGTCAGTTAGTGAGGTCAGACTCATCAGAGATACATGTTTCATTAATAGTACGCCTTTAATTACTATTATTGATACCAGTGCTACTTATTGTTTTATTGCCGCTGATTGTGTTGAAAGATTGAGTCTTATGTTGTCTTCCAAGAATGGAGAAATGGTCGTCGAGATTCTGGCTAAGGGATCGGTGACTACTTCTTGTGTGTGTTTGAATTACCCTTTGTCGATCTTCGGCAAATACTTTGTTGTTGACTTGATTTGTTTGCCATTAAGAGGATTGAATGTGATCTTGGGTATGAACTGGTTAGAGTATAACTATGCTCATATCAATTTCCATGACAAGTCTGTGAAGTTTTATACTTCTGAAGAGGAAGGCGTCGGTTTGTTGACTGGTAAACAGTTACGGAAACTGATGAAAGACGAAGCGCATATGTTCTCGTTGATGGCGTCATTATCAATGGAGAACCAAGTCAGAATTGACGAGTTGCAGGTGGTGCACGAATTTCCTGAAGTGTTTTCGGATGAAATTCCTGGTGTACTGCCAGAAAGGTGAAACCGCCATGGCCAAACCTGTCATCTGGATGTAATGAAACATCAATGAAGTCGCCACCGAATATATTTTATCCCGCCGAAAGGGAAAGGTAAACATCGAGAAAACCTGAAAAGGGAGAAATCACGGTCTTTCGACTGAGAGATCGGGTAAGGGAGTCTGTTACGCAAGGGGAAGGTATTAGCACCCCACACGCCAGTAGTACTCTACGGTATCCACTCTTGTTGTCTAATCTAATGGGTGTGGTCAAATCCTATGTCTATGACTTAAAGATAAAAAAGGGAATGTATGCGAAAGAAACAAAAGAAAACAATGTAGGGAAAATAAAAGATGTGCTCGGTTGGGCTCTACCCCTTTGCCTACGTATCCCTTTTAAGGAATCAGAGCAACCATAGTTCGGCTCATATATTCTGGTTGGTTTGTGTTTTTTAATTAAGACAACAAAAACAGTCAAGATGGCAAAACATCAAATAAAACAACAAACAAATGAGATGGTAAAACATTGACTAAACAATAACAAAGTAACATGTCACAAATGGCGAAACATCAAATGATAAAACATCACACCTAACAATGATATTGAGAATCAAAGTAGGATAACAAACATGTGTGATGGCGAAACACCGGCTTCAAACAAATGTGCGATGGCGAAACACCGACTAAGATAACAAGATATCATGGTAGAGATGGCGAAACATCGATAAAACGGATGACAAAACATCACACCTAACAATGATATTGAGAATCAAAGTAGGATAACAAACATGTGCGATAGCGAAACATCGGCTTCAAACAAATGTGCGATGGCGAAACATCGGCTATAAGATAATAAGGTTTCATGGCAAAGATGGCAAAACATCGATAAAACGGATGACAAAACATCACACCTAACAATGATATTGAGAATCAAAGTAGGATAACAAACATGTGCGATGGAGAAACATCGGCTTCAAACAAATGTGCGATGGCGAAACATCGGCTATAAGATAACAAGGTTTCATGGCAAAGATGGCGAAGCATCGATAAAGCGGATGATAAAACATCACACCTAACAATGATATTGAGAGTCAAAGTAGGATAACAAACATGTGCGATGTCGAAACATCGGCGTCAAACAAATGTGCGAATGCGAAACATCGGCTAAAACAGGTTTAAAAGCAAAACCAAGAGGCGCATAAACAAATAGGGTTGATTTATATCTTTTACCTTGAAGAAGGGTTTGAGTTTATTAGAGGTGTTTTATGATTTGCCAAGAAAACAATTTTGTTTTAAGATGCAAAATGCAAAGGAAGGAAAACAAAACAACTAAGGGAAACTAGCCTAGCATTATCCATATTGTTATCGTACAATGATTGACCCTAAGATTGAGGATAAAGAAAATTCCTACCCTATGTTAGCATACATGGATTCCTACCTTAATCAACATGTCAAAGGAAGCTTAACAAAACTATCCTATAGGGAACATGCAATGAGAGTGAAGTCATGATCTTAATTTCTAAATTGAGTGACTCATCGATCAACAATTAAAGAAACAAAATAATAAACATACTATAAGGAACATGCACTGAGAGCGAAGTCGTGATATCAATTTCTAAATTGAGTGACTCATCGATCAACAATTAAAGAAACAAAACACAACACATGTATAACATAAAAACAGAGGGCCTCCTGACATATATCAGCAACAGAGGTCCCATCATGCAACACAGAATTATACATAGTGAAAATAGAAGAAAGGAAATAGTGCAATACCAAACGGATAACTATCCGTAACAACTGAGCAAGAACAAAAAGAATCCCAGAGAGCTTCAAGAAAGCTGGCATCAGTAGACAAATCAAGTCAGAAATTACTCCATCAGGATGTAAGCATTGAGATTTTCAGATATGAACAGATTCCATGGGCAATGCATAGCATTCATAATCACATATATATCCTGCAGAGACTATCAAATATGCCAAGCACAAGA